ATTATAAACACAAATCAGACCCACTCATCGATATCAATCTAAATCAGAATGTTCTCATCTATAACGAATTTTATTACCAGTTCCCAAATTAACTTCTTTAATCTGTCTTTACAGAAATATTTTAAGAGTTGGTAACACTGCGCGATTATATTTAATGCTTTTGTTTATTGGAATAAGTGAAGAAGATAGTAGGCATGAAGACGCCGCCTCTTGTTTTCATTCCAATTAGATAAATGCGTCATTTGCCGTCTTAATTGGCCTTTCCAATGATAACAATAACGATTATACGCAGTGTCGCTTTTATATTTATGATTTCTAGAATTCTTATGTACTCAATGTTTTATATTGTATATTTAGCGTAGGTTTTCACTGGCAAAACATCTATAAAAACTTTTTATCATTTTGCTCGTTCTCAATAAAGAATTCAGTTTAAACACACAATAATATCAACCTATCAAATTGAGCAGCATTAATATTTTTAGCGCGATTTTTTTTAAATGTAATTGCAACAAAACCTTTAAATGTCACTTGATGTCTTTGAGATTTTTATTCCAAGATGTCTCGACAAGTATTGCGTTAATATAATAATCAAACAGTCGGTGAAAGGTTGTTAACTAGATATTGATTCGTATTTCTGGCAATATGGACACATCGTTAAGCTTGTTTAACTCATTACGAGTATTGTCCGATATATACAAGAAAACTTTAGTCATTGTCCATCATAACGACTTTCTAATATCACTAAACAAATTTTTAATTGGTCTCTAAAATCCATATTTCTATTTTTGGTTTAAAGTTTCAAGTTATGTTTTGACGCAAAATTTAAAAATGTTGCGTTAAAAAAAGCGTATCTTTTCTGATTAATTAAAAAAAGATATATGCATAATAATTTATCCAAGTTGGTACTTTTTAGTTAATTGTTTTAATGCTACTTTCCGCAGCAGCTTGTTTACTATATACGTGTAAAACTACGAGCCATACTTTTGTGAACTACTTATATTGAAATGATAAATAATAATTTACATATTGAGCTGTGAATGTAAACTGTTTTTATGTTCTTTGATAACCTTTGCACTTCTCCAACCCATGATAGTAATAATGTTCAGACTTTGTTTTTGTAACGAGGAATGATGTTTTTATGCGCTTAAGTAAATGAAGTTACCCTCGTTAAATTAAATCAGTAAATAAAAGCGCTTTGTTTTAAAGTCATTAGATAAAGTAAAGTAAAGTACAATTCGAAGATATTTAACATTAATCACTTTGGTATTCCTTTCTTCGGGACAAAGATTTTACATTTCGTACTTAAAATTCTCTTTGTAATTTGTGTTTTAAAGCTAATTTCACGCAGTTTATATCTTTGTTTCTTTTGTTGTATGAAGTAAAGAGATCGCAGCTGTTTGTTGTCATTGTACGCGTGTTTACACACAGGCACACGAGGCGTAACATTTCAACCACTTGACAGGCGAGCCATCCGTCAACATCAAAATACACAGGTCTCACCGCGCCCATAACTGCCTTATGTACCTACATTACAAGGAACACTCGCTTTCACATAATAGTCATTGTGGCTGTAGTTTTATCTCGCGGACTTTTATAGCGCATATTTCTTGTACATGAATTTGGTAAACAAATAACCTTTTCATATCTCTGATCCTTCCTTTGATCCTTTTCACAAATAGAGTTTGTATCTGGTTTCTTATCTCACCCTTAATATAAAAAGTTACTATAGTACCGTATCGTATTTTGTCTTGTAAATGATCTGGCAGCTAATGCTTTGTATCGAAGTGTAAACTTTGATATAAATCATAAATTTTAACCGTCGTTCTGCAATATGTTTGAACGAAATAATTTCATAAGTTATGCCTCTGTTTATTGTACAGCATTCGAAGGCAAACCTGTTTGTAGTAAATACCTGTCAGCGAAATTACCGTGCGCATGCCAAAGAGGGGATCGCCGCCATCACGCTACACTTTGACTTTTAAGAGACAGGACCAGTCAAGCACGTACATTCCCATTTACATTTGTGTGTATAATTTTTTGATTAATTGGATGTTCATAACGATGTTATAAGTTTACGTTTGGTTCTCATCCTTACCTTATTCCCAGCGAAAACTGGCAGAATTTGCTTAGTACAACGGCGGCTCTAGGCGTAGTCCGTCCCTCTATCGTCAAAGCCACCACGCCAGTGTTCTGTCCGCGCTCCCGATACACTCCGACCAATAAATACACGAATGCCTCTCAGTCTTTTGATCTCTACCCGACTGATGCTGTTTACTTATCCCTTAGCAGATTTCAAAATACTGAAACCGAATGAGTCGTTCTACTGGAATTTTGTTATTTCTAATTCTATTAAAAGATTGAAAATTCACGCGATAATCTGGAAATTTTTGAAATACAACACGAGACTGGTACGCTTAACTCACTTTTGAATGCTGTTTGAAAAATTTTCAAACATGACAGTTTTGACTTTTTACATTTTTTATTGATCAAATTTTCTTCAATAAATAGATTTATAATGTCATCTGTGCTTATATCGACATATAATCAATATCAGAAATTATCTTATATATAAAATTCTCGTGTCACAATTTTCGTTCCCATACTCCTTCGAAACGGCTTGACCGATTCTCATGAAATTTTGTGAGCATATTGAGTAGGTCTGAGAATCGGCCAACATCTATTTTTAATCCCGCGCGGACGGAGTCGCGGCCGACAGCTAGTAATTTTATAATAATTGTGTATGTTAATACAAATTTAATTATGTTATAATATTTGAATAAATTAATTCATTCATGTTAATAAAATTAAACATTTGATATATCAAGAAAGTAAAAGTTCATATTTTATTTTATCAATGTCAAGGTGATTGTGAAGATTAGCAATAAATTACCTACATGTTTAAAACGAAAAGTTTTATTCAGGTACTTTATCAAACAAAAAAGGAACTTCAATGAATCATTGACTTTTTAGAGTAATAAAGTCATAAATAATTCTTAAAAATTGATGAATTCATCAAATTACGACCTTCTGCTTAACTCAAACTAGATTATTTACACTGATATTAAACAGGCACGGACGCTACCTGTATTAAAAGTGTGCCGATGAAAGATGTTTTATAAGCGGAGTTTTATACTTAATTTATATTTTATTTATTTATCTAACCGCTATGTAAATCACCTCAAAGCGTTGTCTACTAAAACTTTATGATCGCCTTCATCTGATAAAATAACGGGCCGTAACTGTGAGTAATGTCATTGAATTTAAATGAAAATTACATTTGTTACTGTCTGTGTTGTGGATATCATTTTAAAACCGTGGAACTTAGATCTTAGAATAGATCGCTGTTATACCGAAATCTATAGTTTGACTCTAAGACGAATTAAGCATACTACTATTTGGCCACAAATTGATAAAAATAGCTTTATGCACTTCTTCTATACATTAACTTTATCTATGTTAAGTTTCAAGCACTTCCGTTGTCGTCATATCGTTTAAAAATGGGTATAGTATTTCTCAAATATCTAGACGGCTCGGAACTTTCCATGCGCCCCTGAGTTAAACACAATTTTAAGTAGATGCGAAGGAAGGGCATTGCGCAGCGCGCAGATGACCTTGAGCCGCCGAGATATTTGAAAAGACTTACACAAAGCTTTCGCTTCGCGTATATATATTTATTTTAAGGCATTTTTCAATAACCACCAAATTGTAAAAAAACAACCTAAGTTACTGCTTACCCCAAAATAATCAGCAGACTTGAGTTAATCTAGTAGGATTATAATGAGTAGTTTAGTATGATGGGGAGATTAATATACGTGTATTACATATTGTGTGCACATGTCGGCGTTTGTTAATCACAAATTAATAAGGTTAACTATTAATACAACAGCTGAGAACGATGAACTTGTGATATGGCCGAGCTAAATGTATCCGCTCAGAAAAAAATATATTAACGGCACTAAAGAAATCAAGATTTAAAAGTTACATTTGATAATTTTGTTTTAGTACGGAAACATTATATTTAGGAAATGTGAATAAAATAAGCATAACTGTAATTTGACATTCAACATGAGAAAATGACTAGTTTATATAAACATGTTTAAAATATTACTTGTACAATTATCGTGTAACTATGCTATTTTACTGTGTCATAATATCATACTAAGTGATCTGCGTTTGCATTCTGTCGGCATCGTGTGTTGCTTATTTGGTCTTTTTTTAAATGAATTAATGTATATTGTATTGAGGTCCAATAATTATGTTCTACATCAGCACACACAGATTTAATAACAGTGGAAAACAGTAACATAATCAGATGCAGTAGATAGACTGTTTATAGCTCGTTACATTTCCGCTAGAGCACGCATCGATCACCGCTCTAATAACGATGCGTTATGCCTTCCACATAGACGTTATTGTTACGCCTAATTAAACGCTACGTTTACAAATGGCGTTAATTTTAGTCGTCGCTTTCTCGGGGCCTCATAAATATCAATAAACAATCGAGGTGGCCGGGGAGGCTATCATTGGCTCGATGTGCCACTACGCCTGTGAGATGTAAATGTATTCCGATTCAGGTGAATAGGGCGAGTTATCCGCCGGCCCCGGGCGCGGCCGAGGCGCATCAAAAATATTTGGCAGTTGGCCAACGCTGCTCGGCGTCGCGACGCCCGCGCCCTCTCGCGTCCGCCGCCCGCCCATAGCTTCGTAATGCAATACCTTACACTAAAGTGCATCTCTTATACGCATTAAATGCTTAAGACGCCTCTAAATATGTTTTAGTACACAAGTCAACGCTGAAAAGGTTGAAACATGTTTACATATGTTTTACTAATTTAGACTTAAGTTACAATTATAAACATAACTAATTTTACATTTCATTTTTATTTAAATTAACCTATGATTGAACTAAAGTGGTTCTATTGATCCTCGTCTTGCAGAACAATAAATAGTAATTTAAAAGATTAATTTAATTAATATAATTTATTGTTTATTTGTTTTAGGTGAGTAACGGCAATGTCATCGACACAGGAACACCAACCCTGCTGGTATTTACCATTTTTATATTTACATTATTAAGCATGCTAATGGCGATATAAATTATTGTAGTCATTAGTTAAAGCTATTTTGTATTTGCATTATCATTGCAATTTACATCGCATATATCGCTTATTTATTGCTTATTTTGGACGTTTAATCATGGATACATTGTACGTTTTTTTAAACCGCAAAATTCAATATTATGGTTTAATTCCTCATAATTTTTATGTTTTTTGTAAATATGGCACTTAAACGTGTTATACATTTCAGCTTTGGCAATGGTTTTTCATTATGTCAAATAGATACCTACACTTGGCACGCTTGCGAATAGATTACGATAAAATTGTATTTATGTTAAAATCAATTTTGTAAATAATTTCCTTGTTATGGTGTTTAATTATGTTGATGCATTAATTAGTACATTCATATTTTTAATGTATAGACTACCTACATTTTATATTATATTTATTTCAGTAATAAATTAATGTACTAAAGTAATATAATATTATTAAGAATATTAATGCAAGAACACAAGCATAAATTTTAAATATATGCTGCCCTTTACTTCACTATTGGGTTGTCTTATTACAGTGCTCAGAATACGAATAATATGCATTGCATGAATAATAATATGGCATAAAATAATTTATGAAACATTTTTTTTTAAATTCGAAGAAACTCAATTTATGTAAGAATGCTTATCATAGTAAGGTTTTAATCTTGCCTTGATCTCTGTTTTATAAATATTAACACGAAGGCAGGTAGGTAGGTAGGGCTGCGTGTGTTTGTGGCGGCGTACTTCCAGCCACGTCTGCCTCGCATGCAAACGATCCCTCATTGATTCATTGCTATAAGCTATTTTCAACTCTTTACGTACACAAAGAGGTGTCTGCCGGCCGCACCGCGTCGTTCGTAATGCAAGAAGCTACGTATCGCATACAAATAAGATATTTTTGGTTCTACAATATGGATATCATATGAAAATAGTCGACAGACAATTGCGATTCTTCATACTCAACGTCCGGAGAGGTTTTTTCGTACAGCTTATTGTTTTTTTTAATGGTAGATTATAGTATGAATACGTACTAATAGATAGACTGCAAATCTTTCGTCTTTAAATGTAAACTCAACGGACACATCACACAGAGTTGTTTTCGATATAACAGCAAAGGGGTAAAATTATCAGTGTTTTATTAAATTCGAACATACTCCAGATCTAAAAAGAACTACGGCTCAAAATGATTTATTCGTTCAGAATTATCGATAGACTCATATGTCAGTGGTGAAATAATCAGAATTCAAAACGAATAAAGTTTTAGTCGGTTAGGTAAACAATAGAAATTGTTTAACATGTATATCATTAGGTCGTGATTTACAACGGAAATGATGGTGGTATAATGGAATAGCAAGCGAGTAGGTTATTTGTAGTTGAGGTTGACAATGGTTGCGGGGGTAAGGGGCGACGGCGGCGCGGTGTGCGAGCTCGGCTAACCCGTTCACCTAACCATTTAGATACGACGAGGTCATAAGACTTTTTGCGATACATTTAACAGATGCGATAATGGCCGTAATCATTTGTACCAGTACGCGTACTTTAAATATTAAATTGCTTGAAATTTTCTTCTGTGATTTACGTATTTTATGTTTTAGGGTTTTTAAACACGTTTTTAAGTATGTACTAACATTTATAAAGCATTTTTATTTTAAGTACCTGCTAATAGATTAATTGAAACGTGATCGAAAACTTTTCAAACTTATCCGTATTACTAAAGTCTCATTTAACTTACGAATTAGTGGACATAACTGTATGTAGACGTAACTGCTAGTTGTGCAACTCAATAGGAAAAAGTCACAAGTTGGGGTTTGCTGACTAAACGTTTTGTTGCTTGTACGGCTTCGTGCTTTTGCGAGTTTTGCAATGCCATCGCTATTACGACAACTTTGATTACCGAACACATCGCATTTGAGATGCGATAGAATGAACAAATACAATAAGACGGACTTGGAAATATAGTGTATAATATAAAAATTACGATTATACATAGTTTATGACATAAGAAACATATTTTATTAAGTTTATTATGTGTTTAAAAAAATGTTACAATTAAGCACAAAGTACATAATGATTTGTATTATTTTTGTAACGTAACGTTTGAGCGTTGTTTCTATGAGCGGCTTATTTCCCGACCGTGACAAATTGTATGATTCGCCGGGTTCATTGTCACGAACGATAATACGCGCTTCGGCTCGTAGTGTCGCATCACTATTTGTTACGTTACTGATCAAAAACAGTCTGCAACAATAAATATTGTTTACAATCTATTGACACACTGATGAAAATAATCTTTATTAAAAACTGGCGGAGGCTCTAATGGATGAAATAGCGCCCGATATTTTTACCATAATTAGTGATTCAGTAACGAGAGAAATAGTAAACTCATTTTGCTACATCGATCAGAATCCGCGAGAGTGTGTAACCTTTGAAAGTTGTCGTGATTCGAAGTACCATTAAGGCCTCTCCTGGATCGTTGCCAGAGCGGGGATATTATTAGCACGCCGCCAACGTCCGAGTTAATCAAGCTCAAATAAGATCGATATTAACCGTAGGTGATGGTCTCGCGGCTGCTCCGCCCGACCCGACCCGTCGCCCGTCACCCGTCACCCGTCGCCTAGTATTAAATACCGAAGCCGACGACATCCGCCGCGGCTCGCAGAAAGCATCATTTACACAAGATATTATTAACCCGATTCCGTCGCTTTGGTATCTACGAATACGTAAACACCGTCTGCTACTGATATAAACCAATTCCTAGCGGAAAGATAAATGCGCCTTGCTAGACTAGAAGGACACCAGACATAGTGCCAACGTTTGCATTTCGTAAGCTGTAAGAAAGCTCAACAGCGGCGGCCCGCTGCGCATAGTGTCGACGCTAAGACCAGTTTTGTGCGAGAGTAATTTTCTTAGAACTCAGTACGGTCCATAACATGATGTGCAATTTCGCAAAAACGCCGTTTGACCTCAATATGCCTGTCGTTTATGCACTTCTATCGCGTTTAATGTTCTGACACACTAATCAATCAGGGCCAACGTAGTTAGTAATATTGATAAGGCTTTTTTGTTCTGTTGTCATGTCTGCTGTCATGTGTAAAAGTAGTAAATTAGCTAATTGACTATACTTTTGTTATGGTCTACAAAGCGTGACTATTGCGTCGTCCGACATACCACTGAGAGAAATTTTGCTTTCCCCATACTATCCGTAGAAAAAGTTATTGCTATGCTGATACTATTCGAAGATTCGGGCAATAGCGGGCTAGCTTGTGAACCATTCAAAAATTTCTATCATAAAATTAGATGTAGGTGATTAAAAATGATATTAAAAATTGGTTCAAAGTAGTATTAGTTAGTAGTAGTATTGAAGCCCGCAGACAGAAAATTTATCACAAAAATTACGGTTATTACTGCAACAAGAATAGACGCTAAAATTAACTAATAAACATTTTTATGATCGTTAACGTGATTTTCATTTTGAATAGAGCAGTAATTATAGTAATATCAATACGCCTAAAATTACAAATGATTACCGTTTCATTGCTCCGTTTTACGTCGGAACATTTTTGTGGCATCAGCGCGAGCTTCCATTATTCAAAAGAATAATCTTTGTTTGTTCAATTTGTGCAAAATGGTAGCGCGCATTACCGCCCAACACATCAGTTTTGCATTACACTTAGCTTGCGAAAATACCTTAATGTTTGCACGAGCTTTTATTTCGCTTACACCAGGGGCTTTATGATAAAACGATAGCGATTTGTCATCGAACTAATCTACGATGTATTGTTATTCGGTTTCGAGTTATCTTACATTTTTTGTAAATAAAACAAATCCTCTGAACGGATATGAATGATGTTACTTTTAACCTTTAAAGTCAAAGAGTACGTACATTTTATTTGTGCTGCAAATTTAACTCAAAATCTGCGGTCGGAACTAAGAGCTTTAACGGAGACTTGATACAAATTTTATAATATTTTATTAAACTATGCTATATAATGTATTCAATGTTAAATGCGATTTAGCGCCACTATTATTGACTAATATTTTCTTATCTCAAAACACAATATATTTAATTTTAAATATTAAATTTACATCTGCAAATATTCCTAGTAACATAAAATATGATTTTATGTCGAACATAGATGAGATGAGAAAAGTTGGATACGTACGATAAAAGTTAATTAACGTGATCGACGAGCCATAAAACACGGTCGTAGAGCAATGTGCTCTGAGTGCATTTCAAAGGGACAGCCGTCTCTGGGTTTGAGCGAGCCGAGTGGCCAGTGTCATGCGGCTCTACTCTCTCCACATTAATGCGCAATCAATTATATGCACCACTGCATAAAGACCTACACGTTTTACAATTTTAACTTTGATACTATGCGTCCTCTCTGCCCATTCACTTCGCTAATTTGGCGATTTTCCCATAGACAAAGTAACCTATGATAAGCTACATCACTAATAAACTGAGTGATCCTTATGATGACGAATGAAAAACTCTACGTTCAATCTACGTTAGGATGGATCTCACAAGCTGTATTGAGTTGCAATCTTTATTGCAAATTTGATTTTTGGTACCGTCAAAACAAATTGATTTTGACATTTTCATAAAATTTAGGTATTTATATGTTACATAACAAGAAATAGTTCGATTACACATACAATAATGTAAACCTATAGGCTCGTGACGCGAGGCGCACTTGACCGCTTTTTTTATTTCACTCTTAACGAATTCTTAATTTGGAGTCAGCAAAGCAGCGCGGCTTTGACCTCAAATACGTGAAATTACATGTTCGTGTTTACTATCGCTAGTGATTTTGTCCACTATAGCATTGTAATAAATACCAACTTAACGATCTATTAAGTCTCAATATGTGAAACTAAAAAAATATAAAATATATGTGTGTTGTTCATTAGTAGATAACAATCGTTTATCGAATTTTTCCTTGATTATGTTTA